GTTAATAAGAAAATTATTAATTGAATTCTACGGAAAGAAAGTTAGGGAAATTTTTTTTTTAAATACTACTAACTTCGATTTATTAGAGTTTGCTTTCATGACAAGAAAAATGGACAATTATTTAAAACATTAGTAGTAAATGGAAGGAAGAAATTGGCCCACTCTAAAACCAATTTGACCCAAGAGGCTGTTCCTTATAAAATGATCTTAGAAACCACAACAATAGCAAAATGATTCATGTAACAAAAAGAGAATTCCAAAATATATAAACCCCTGCCTATTCCAATGACCGTACTACTGAAAAGCCTTAAGAGGGTCATTAGGGTCAATATCAGCTATTAGAGGGAGATCAACTGCCAAGTTCTCCAGACTTATGCCTTCATTTTTCAACTTTGACACCACTTCCTCATACACAATCCTATTGCCACCCTTAGCTAGATGCAACCCATCCCTGCATTTACAATTAGACAACAAATAATTATGAGTATATAAAACAACATCTTGCCCTTATCAAATAACAATTTCACAAGTAAAATGATTAAGTGATTGATCATTAGTCATGGTTTTTTGTAATAATCTTATTTCAAAGGTAGAGAGATCTTGAATTCAAGTTATGGTATAGGAGTTAATGATTAATATGGAGAACAAGAAATGAAGCATAGGGATGAAAACAAAGTTAGAAAAAATGAAATTAAACTACCATAGACAATCTTTCTTCCAATTAGGATATTCTTGTATTTTAGTCCAGAGATCTATAACAGGAAGTCCACATTCAGCAGCGACCTCTATGCACGCCTTGGCATAAGCTCCAGCAGCTTCATTTGTCCTCTCTGGCAAACCTGATGGGTTTTCTACATAGGGATATCTGCATCAATTAAGAATGTATTATATTTTCATTCACTGACAACGCAAAAAAATCACTTAGTATTCCATAGCAAAAATGCATAAAGCTTCATGTTGTAGAAGAATACCTAAGACGTCCTCCTTCATCAATTGGAGGAGGAGTAATGAGGATGACGACGGTCTTCGGCCACCGCTTCTGAGACCCCAGAAGAAGGTGTAAGCAAAAAGTGTACAAAGTAAATAAAGACATTAAGAATCAATCATTAACCAGGACAATAGAAAATCAATAACACAGCCACTTATGCAAATTGAAGACATAGTTTAAATCCAACTCGAGTCAAGAAAACAGACTTGAATCAGCCTTGAACTCGACATTCTTAGATGAAATGGGTCTGAACTGTCAGTGTCACATGGTTCACCAATGATTCTCATCTTTGACTCAAAGAAGCCAATTAAAAAGAACAGGGACCAAAGACTAGGACTTTTTTGTTTTTTAATTTGAAATAAAGGTCACCAAGGATATTTTTTAATTGACCAAGACAAATAACAACTCGACAACTGAGCCTCATGCACCTTCTCCTTTCTTGGCACCATCGATTCCTCTCGTCAACACTCATGAACTCACATTTCCAATCATTCCATCCCAAATTAAAATTCAATTATAAACACTATGAAATCCGTAATAATGAAGGAATATAACATCCATTTATCATAAAGAACCAATTAAAATTCAAAACAAGGATCAATTCTGATATGATATTTTTTAATCATCAAAGAAAATACTTAGCTCTACTACAAATACTCAAAAACAAACTCCGTAAACTCTTCTTAAGATCTTGTTAGTTCTCTAAACCCTATAATAAAAAAGTTCTTGTTTTGTAGTCTAACAACAAAACATTAAGCATTAGATGCTAACAACTCGCATGCAATATTAAAATGCTGCTTTTATCTAATGATTTAAGTTTCTTGAACAACACTTTTTTCATAAGCCAAATATATACTTTATAAGTGCCTGTTTAGTATTTGATTATAATTTTGAATTGTCAATTCTAATTAATTACATCCAAATCTTTATAATCAAAACAAAAAACATAAACCCCAAGTTCTCAACACATTAAAAGGATTTTGTGGATTTTTATTTAGAAGAATAATACTACAGTACCGCACGTGTGTGTCTTTGGACGTACCTTGAGAACGGAGACAATGGAGCGGAGATTCTGCCTGTATTCATTGAGAGGCACGTGTTGGAAAGCAGAGCATCTATCAGGAAGGCAAGCGTCGTTAGCTCCAAAGAAAACCGTAACTGCAAGTGGCGGTGCACCACCGTCAGAGCCACCGCTTCCCACCGGCGGAAATACCTTGTCAATCACCTTCAAAGCCCACGTCGTATTGTACCCACTATACCCCCTTAGCACAACATCAATCTAAAACCACAAAACAAATCAACACAACATACATCACAAAAATGGGAACTTTAGATTATGTTAGAAGCCTAATAGTCCGATGTTTCCTGTTTGTACAACGTTACAACCCCATCGAAGAAAATGAATAAAAGGGTAAGGAATGAAGTCGTACGGTGCGGCCGAAATGGTTAGCGAGGGTAGCTCCCCAGCCGCCGTCGGCGAAGGATTCCTCGGTGATCGAATCTCCGAAAAGATAAATCTTTGGCCTCATCTTCTGATTTGGAATTGTACCTAGGCAACCCGAAGGAACAGAGAACGGATTCTGGGCTTCAAGTCGGCTGTTGGGGGTACTTAATTAGGCTGAGAAAGGGACCACAGCATTCGCATCCCACAAAATTCAATAAAAGCTGGCGTACACTTAAATGCTCACCCACCCCAAAAGGCTGAGAGAGGGACTACAGACAAGGGGAAGAGATCAAAAGAAGCGAAGGGACTCGGGAGTTGATTGGATTTAAGTGTTTATCCTTTCAGATCTTTTTCGTTGGGTTTCTTTGATAAACATAACATTGGTGGTTTAGTTCCCACTCTTCTAACAGGTGACGTAACTGACGTTGAGCTAACTTGATTTTATAGGGGACCAGAAGGTAGCTCCTCTCTCCTATGAAGTGACTGGGCCGGACTTTACATTAAATTCCCTCAATTGAGGTGTGTGGAATTTTTTTTCTTTTTTTTGCTTTTTCTTTTTTTGCCACAGGTGCAGGAAGCTATATTTATATATATATATATATATATTTAGAGGTAAATGGTTGTTCATCTTTTTTTAAAAAAATTAAAAAAAGTATTATAATTTATTTTTTAAAAATTAAATATTTTAATAAATATTTATTAAACTGATATAATTTTAAAATAATATTTTTTTTATAATTTTAAAAAAATAAAAAAATAAATTTTTTTTATATTTTATTATATTTATATAATAAAATATAATCATAACTTATCGTTTATCTTATACCATACTACTTAAATGTAAAATATTTTTGTTTTCAATAAAAAAAATAATTATTAAATTATTTAAATAATTTTTAGTGCGAGAAGATATCAACAATAAAGAAAGCGTAAAAGCCTATTAGCGCTGCCACTGTTATTCTATGACACTGTTCAC